ATGGAGAATACACAGTGCCATCATGTGCCACTCTGTGTGATTTGTTGCTGGTAAAGGACATCTTTTGCCTGTTTCATGAGGGTGTAGGAAGAAAGGAGAACTGTTTTTCATGGAGCTACTTCTAATTATAGTCTTTAAGTATCTTACTGCCTTGAAATTGCTTATTGACCTTACTATTATTTATGAAAATCTGACATGACCAGGAAGGTGCATCACTCATGCTTGGAGTGCACAGATTTTGTGTGGTCAGAATGAGGAAAGAGGGTTTTTCCTTTCAACGGGCATGGTCTGCTACAACCCACTGGAAAAATTCCACCAGCTGAGAATAGTGCACGGATGACAATATTTAGCTGAGTTGTTTTTCCCTTCAAAAAAGAGATTTTAAACAAGTATTTAGTTTAGTTCCAAGCCCTCTGTCTAAAGAATCCTCTGACATGCATACCATGTATTTCACAAGAAAAGTCCAGCAATGGAAAGAAATGGAAGAAATCAAGTGTAAACTCAAGAGAACATCTAGATGCTTGTTTGGGTAGCAAAAGAAAATCGCCAATCTGCTTGGCACTTTGTGTGTGCAGCTCTGAAGCTCCTCCTTCACATATCATAATGACTTGTGCATTGCATTTAAAACCTGATCTTATGCTGAGTGATTTATGCAGGAGCCTGTAGAACCCTCAAAGCTGCATGATGAGTTTTGATATACACTGCTGCTAAGAATGTGTTGAGGCAACAGATTATTTTAGCTATTTCAGCAGGATCAAATGTGTGCCTTTCCATTTTACTCCATGTCCTCTGTCTCTCCATCCTTCTCCTTGTCTCTGTATGCCTCTTTTTTTGTCTCCTGTCAGAATAAATCTGGCTGCCATACACTGTAGTTAACTCAAAATATTGCTAGCATTAAATGTGCCCAGACATTTTTATTAATACATTAAACTTGCATGAAATTTTAGGCATTATAATTTACTAAGCTTACACCAAGATGATATTTGAAACTGACATGAGCTATTAATTAAAAAAAAGGACATTAAATAATTGTCAGTTGACGTCTAAATTACTGTTTTGTTAGTTGACAGCAGCTTGCCTCAAGGCTCTTTCTCTTCTCAGGTGTTAGTAAATATTCCATTGTGTTTAAGGGCACCCCATTGTGAACTGATTGTTTAAGCCATGTGTTATATGCCTGACTTAATACAGAGGTAAACACTGTGAGTTATTTCACGGTGAACTGGTATCATTTAGAGCTAGAAATACTTCTGCTGTAATGGCTTGGGAAAACAGCGAAAGTGACACGCGGGAATGCTGTCTGACTTTGGTGAAAACATGACCTTGTAGTGTTTTCTCTTAGGTTAGGTTCCACGGCTCTAAAATGAAAGGGGATTATCTGCATTCCTTTGTCTGCTCTAAGTTTGATGACCATGATGACACTGCTCTGGATGACATCCACCTAAGCTTATGACAGTCATTGGGATGGCTTGAGGCACTTATGGGTACAATATGTGAAATGTGAAACAAAATTTTAGCAAGCGTGGTGTCAGTTGGATTGAGGTGGTAGTTTTTTGTTTTACTTTTCCCTGAGCAATCATCAGTGGTCAAGTAGAAAATTGTCTGCAGATGATATACCAGTTTTCCTCTCCAGTCCTAAAGGAGTGATACACTGATTATCACTTAGAATGCCTGTATGATTGATTGGAATAAACTTAGGAGGTAGTAATTTGTAGTAGAGTTTTCTTTATCGAAAGGGTTTTCCAGAATGAGCCACTGGCCTAGAAATGCCATGAATTAGAGTCCTCAGAGTATTGAAGCAAGTAGTGAAAATTAGGTTACATCTGATTACCATGTCTCCATTGACTTGAGTAAATGGGGAGTTATCCCTTTGACCAATAGGAAAAAATGAATCTAATAAAATGAGCATATAGCTTGGTTACTCTTGTGGAAATTCACAGTACTTATAATACTGTAGTGTTTACAATGTAAGTATTCAAGGTAAATAATATTTGTGGACTATTGACTGGATGATCTTGGAAGTCTCTTCAAGCTTTGGTGATTATGATATTTAAGTGTGGCTTTCAGGAAAGTGATGGTTTCTGGTCCAGTGTCCTGAGGGGTTGCAGTGTTCATGTGTTATGAGGTTTTTTGTTTGTTTGCTTTTTTTTTTTTTTCCAAGTTGTTAGGAACAGCTCCTTCCCATACACTTTATTTTTAGACGTACAAATGTCCTCAAACACTTAAATGATGAATGTTAAAATCTAAAACATATACCACCATTTGTTGAGTCCTACAAAGAAGAGATGCCAGTATGAATAAGAGTCCTGTGGAAAGGTCCTATAAAGGGTAGGAGAAAAGATGAAATAGAACACTGGATTTTGTATGCTGCATTTCCCTTTGATTTTTCTGTGACTAGATAGTTTATATTGAAGAATGGTGGTGCAAGAACAAGTTTTTGCTGAGATGTGAAATAGCATAGATTTGTTTATAAAACAAACTATGTTATATACTTCCTAGCTAAAAAGTGGTGTTATCTCAAGAATATCTGTATTTCACAGGTAATACTGTTGTTTTCTCACTAATATCCTCATAAGCTCCTTAGAGCCTAATGTACGTGTTTGCATCACCTGCAGCATTGTTTTATCAGTTGTGCTACTCTATCATTATAGTAGATAAACAAGAGCAGATTACATATTTGTTACTCACTGAGGCTTGCATTATATACTAACTCTTACACTTACAAAACAATGGTTTCCTCAAGACCAGTAAAAGTAAATACTGTTTCCTCAGATCAGCTTCTGTTTTATAGAACCCCTTTAAAATCCACTAAGGAGTAGTACATAGGTGCCTCAAAGTGAACAAGAACAAAGGAGTTTATACATTACTCAGTGCTATAATAAAATTAAAAAGTACAACTAAGAAAAGATGGTTGATTTCCAGTTGTTTTCTACTTAACAGAAAAACATCATCTTTAGCATACATAGTTTTGCCCCTAAATATTCTGGAATTACAGCTTTTCTCACTGGTCAGCGTCAGTGGCTCAAAGGCAGAAAACTTATATGCATTGCATCCTGTTTCCAGCCTGAAGATCAGAATTTTAACATGCAACTGGGAACTTCTACCTTTTAGCAACTGCTTGTAGACTGGGACAAGGAATCATCTGAGAGGCCAGTGTAAGATCATCATTAAGGCTGCTAAATCTTGCTGCCATGACAAAATCAGTCGCTTCCCCTAGGAAGATCAGAGGGAAGGTGTCATGAATGCTCATACTGTCTCTATGGTTTCTGTTTTGCTTTAGTTTTCTTCTTCACCTGCTCTTCCTCATTCACTGCTTTCCATACTGTCCTTAGCTCACCAGAAACAGCGTACTACGTGCTCAATGTTTTGTCTTCTGACTGTACAATAGTCCTAATTTGTTTTGGGTTGATAGGCAGAAATTGTGAGTGCCTTGGAAGAAAATAGATTGAATGTTCTGTGATGTGAAAGGAAACGGGTTTTGTGCCCATTAGCTGGTTTAGGTTGTGAAAGCATCTTCCTTGGAAAACATTATATGCTCCAGGCTGGGGCCTTTTTCTGTCAAGCAAAACACTGAAGTACTTTTCTCAAGGAATGTCCTTGCCTTGATCTTCAACTGAATGTCTGCATATGTTGTATGGGCTCTGTGAGGAATGGTGGTGATGGGGACATGCCTATTAGCCTCATATTCATCTCTTTGAGAGAGGCTAAAAGGCTTTTCTTAGGTCACTGAGAACAGCTGTTGCCTTCACTTTATGAGAATGCTGATTAATTTATGTAATCTCTTTTCTAGTTACTTATAAAGTGTCTTGTAGAAACACAAAACATCATCTACTCCTGCAGATTATTGTGATCCAACAGACAACTTGCAGGCTACGTTTCCCACTGTGTACATCTCTGCCCTATTGAATGACCTCAGATGAGGAGCAGTCATCTCCTAAGCAATCTGGCATTGCCTCTGGTATCATTAGGTGCTCAAAACATATAGTGGACTTGCTGTTTCTGGGTAGGGGGAAAGAAATTAAAGGGTAAAAATGTATCCCTTACAGAATGATCACTGTATGACTTGATCTGTAAGAAACCTGGGGAAAAGGGAGATCTCAGAACTGGTCCAATCGTAGTGACTGGGAAGCTTTGGACAAAGCCATTTGCTTAGATTTGTATATATTTAATCTAAAGCACTTTTGAAAATATCAGTATCATAAAAACAAAAAATACGGAAAAATTCTAACAGTGTGAAAGAAAACCCTTGAAACAAGGCGTTTGGCTTTCATCTAGTAATTCATTTAATGCTTTTGGAGTTGTTTTTTTTGTTGGTTTGTTTTTGATGATGTTGTTTTGGAGGGCTGGTGATTAAAACTTGCAATTGTAATATGAAATACAAAATAAATAGGCAGAATCAAAAGTATTTGAACAATTTACTTTTTAAAAGAAATCTCATCCTACTGAGATGTTTTTTTCCAGTTCTTACATGTCAAACTCCTGTTGAATGGGATTTCCCTTTTCCATGCTGCTCCACTAGATATACTGTTGAGTCACGGCCTGAACCACTGATTGAGCACGTGGGGAAAGGACTGGGTCAGCCCTGAGAGCACACCTGAAGGCAATTCAGCTGTGTGACCGGAAAAAATGGCTGCACCTCTCTTAGACCCCATTTAAAGGCTGACTGCCACTGGGGAAAGTTCTCTGAGATCTCTCTTTTGTAGAGTTTTCTCTGAGAGCTTAGAGCTTCAGAGACTGGTGAGCACTTTTTCTTTTTCTTTGTAACACCTTTCCATTTGTGCTAGTCTCTTTGTCATTACACCTCCTGTATGGCCATTCCACTGCACTGATCTTTCTGATCATTACAACTGGGTAGCGTGGTCCTCTAGAGACCTGCATATATGTTGTGTTATCTTTTAAATCACAGCTGCAGGGAAATATCATGCATAAAGACAGCAGAGTTAGTTACTACAGTTGGTATATCACACTGCATCTCAGAAGACCCAAAAAGCAATGACTCTTACCTTCTATCCATTTTGCCCTCTGACTCTAAAGAGAGAATAGGAAAATAGGATTAGTTAAAAAGCAAGGAATAGGGTGGTGATAGACCTGTTCAGAAGTAGTGAGGATGCAACCAGAACAGGTGGTGAAGCAGGCAAAGCTATCCTGTCTGAGGTAAAACTCTGATACTAGCAGTACCACGTAACATTCCTAAAGCCTTTCTCAGTTCTTCCATCTGGAATCTCTTCTGACAATTTTTCTCAAAATTATTTTTGTTTTTATTTTAGCTATTTTGAGACTGTAGTACATCCTCAGAGTATAATGAGGACCAACTTCAAGGACAGATGCTTGATGAAAATTAGGAGGAAGTAGTTTCCCCTTAGGACCATTGCATACTGCCCATAAAGAAGACATCAGACATTTATCTTTCAGGAAGTGGCATTACAATATCATTTGTGTCCTCATGGGGTGCCTGGGGAGTCTGTTTGCAAAAATATCCATTAAGAGATCAGCATTTACTGAAAATGGCATTGAATCTATGCTATGATGGAGACCAAAAGGCTAGGCTCAGGGAGCTCAGTCTACTTCACTTCATGCTTGACAGTTAAGACAGCTCTGCTCTTCTTTTTACTAAGCAAGAGACTGTATCTGCTGTCGAAGGGCTGGGACATGGTAAACTGCTGAATTAATAGTTATACAGTTTGGGATGCTGGGACATAACTTGTTTGTTACATGAAGGCTAAAGTGAAGATACAGTTGCAGAACCAAGTTCTAGATATGGTGAACAGATGGTTGGTTCCCAATCCTGATATGTAGCAGCCTGGCTGCACTGAATTCTTTCATTGCATTTTTCAGATTGACATCTCTAATAACTTCTTTTATTTTTAAAGTGATGGAAATTTGCTAAGTTTAGGGGAATTCCTTTGTTCTGAAAAATGAACTACACAGAGCTGGTGCTTTGCATGCACCTTGAGCTGCAAAGTTGATTTTTGAAATCCACTCCTGTCCATCCTACAAATCCAACAGACTCTTACTTACATTGAATAGGTAGAATTTTGTTTCAAAAATTTGTTACCCAGAAAGATATCCAAGCAGTAAGCTGTAGTGAATCATATTTCTCTAGTTAAGTGGAATAGCTGATTTAGTTACACTGAAAACTTCTGGGTCCCTGGCACTTCCGACATTTTCAAATAGTTCTTCAGAGGAAAATTGGAGTTGCAACAAACATGCAATGCCTAACAGCAGAGCTCAGATCTGCTGATCCAGAGCACAAGGAAATCTAGAACTCTGAATAAGAAATCAGGAGTAACTTCTCTTACCTCTGAAGACATGGTCAAGCATTTGTTTTTTGATCATGCAAATTATTACTGCTATAAAAGCAATTGCTAGAAAGGCTCCCAGAGTAACTCCTATAATAAGATACGTGAAATCTGTAAAAATTGAAAACAAATCTGTGAATACACACCAATAATTAATAAACAGAACTGTGTTTCAGATATGGTAACACAAAGTTGCAAAGTTAAAAAATTTTGTTTGTATATTTTTATTGGTTTTCTCTTCTTGAGAAGGGGCTGACAAAGCTGAGCCAGACTGGCTAGCTGGGAATACTAACATATCAGACTGCCCCTGTATAGCATGAAGTTGTGCAAGCCTGTTGGCTAATGGGCTCAATGAAGTTTTATGGTAATGAACAAGTTTAGCATTCAGTGTATCCAGGTCTCAGCTGAGTTTTATAGCTACAACTCTAATTTTTCCCTCAAAATGGATCCCAAAATCCCAACTGCCCTTCACTTTGTATCCCCAGACTCATATTCCTGCCTCCTGACTGCTCTGTATGTGAGTCCTTACTAGGAAGATTTTTTTTTTTTTTTTAAGTGTAAACTGCAAAGCGTATCATGATTCATGTGTGCACCATAGGGATCCACCTTCATCTATCAGGCTGAGGCTATAGTCCCACAGCAAGACTTTACTGTGCTAGGAAAAGTACAAGCACATAAGCAGAGTATGATTTTCTGTACATAAAAAGCATGTGAATTCTTCTAGATATATAACGCAAAAAGGAATGTAGTTTTTCGCTTTTCTGTCCCCATGAACTCACCTATTTCCTCTGTGTTTCCAGAAGCATATACCTTTGCTCTCCAAAAATCTGAAACGTAAATATTTTGGCCTGTTAGGACATCAAGAAAAGTGTTCTACATCTACCTGGATAAAACTGAGAATGGTGTATCAGTCATTCTGCCTTCTTTGGTGGCTGGGCTTTCATTTCTTCTCCAGTAAAATGAATGCTAGAAATAGGATTGCTTTTAAACTTGAAGTATAATCCTCTTCTTCCCAAAGCCATGCAACCAATCATTTTGGTCCCTTTAGAGAGTCCACCTTAAGTCTGCTTTGCAGATGGCTGGAAACCTCTCTTGAGCTGAGCATGGGCTCTGGGATTTCTGCCATGATGTCAAAAAATCCGATCTATTGGGTAGCTCTGAACAGATTTATTTTTATTTACTGATCTTAGTCACATTTTTAATCCCAAATTTTCATAAATTATGAACCAAGCTTCAAAGCTATGGAGAGAAGCTTAAAACAAGCTCTTGCATTTTAAACCAAATGTATTTTGGGAGCTGTAATTCTCAGCTGAAAGTATTTTTTTTCCCTGTTCTTCATAATCAAAATGTCTGGAAATTTATTTTATACAGACAGAAACAAAACACTTTTCTCTTCAAAAATCCCATGATGCTTTGAGATGGGAGTTGGAAGGTGTGAGGAATTCGTTTCCAGATCCGACCACAAAGATGTTTGTTTAACCTGACCAAAATCGAAGTTACAAAGAGAAGGAAATTTAAATAAATAAAACCAAGACTATGTTGTTGGTGTAAAAAGCAAAGCTCCTGGGTTTCCAGATTCACAATCAGTCTCTTTTAGTCTCTTTGCTCTTGCCTGTGAATTTATTTCATTATAAATTAAAAATAATTTTTAAAAAGCCACCTTTCTTCCACCTCTCTAATTATTCTTTGTGCTCATATGAAGAATGTTTCAAATTCAAACATAATAAAAGTTATATTGTATTACTTTTATTATCCTAATGGTCATAATACATAGACCTTAATGTATGCTTTCTAATAGAATTAAACCAGTGACAGATTATGTGTTTTATGGCAGAAATAATATTTTACATGGAATATTTTATGTAGGTCAGTTTAATATATTGAGATTTAATTATTAGTTTCCTTTTAAAAAAAGGAGGGAAGGAAACCTCTGAAATCCCATGGGACTGAAGGGGATGTTTTCAGTTCATACTTCCAATATGATTTTAATTAACATTTAATATAATTTACTAGATGCTCCTTGAAAACCTTTCGCTTTTGAGGAGTGAGTGTTAGATGGCTGTCTTCTGTTTGCTTTGGTTTTTCCTTAGGTGGAAAGAAATGGATTAATGCAGTCATAGAATCATTAAGACTGGAAAGACCACAGAGATCATCTAGCATAACCATCAACCCATACACATGCATGTCGATGATTGATCTAAGTCCTGCCTTCAGCTCTGATCTCTTGGGGATGGACACAATCCTCAAGGGTGACAGCAATGATTCCCAATGCTCTGCAGCACCCCAGGCCCAATTCTAGCTTTCTGACTGGCTCTCATCTCTGGGTTCGGACTATCTCCCATCCTTTCAATAAACCCTCTGAACTTGGACAAGATTTGCTTCTGGGTCATAGAACCTTGAAGATGAGTTTGATATCTCTATTGGAGTGACTTCCAGATCATTCTCAAAGGATCTTGAGGCAACTGATGGAGCTTTCTGACCCCTCAAATGTGCCTGACTCATCCATAACATGAAATTTGCACCATAACACAGGTTGATGACTTTGTGAAGAGACACCACTGAGTTTTACTGATACTGTACGGCCAGTTTGCCTGCCTAAATCCGGTCTAATCTGCAGTACTGGATATCTGGGTGGGGAGCAGAATGCCAAGGAGGTAAAACAGCAAGTGACTTGAATTATGTCATGGTACCTTAATAGGACATTCTACGTGTAATTCTATCAATATCTGCAATGGCATGATTTTGTCTACGATAATCTGTACTGGATAGTTAGAAGGTGGAATTGATTCTTGTCAAGGGGACAGTGGAAGTCTTCTGATAACAAACAAACCCTGTGTGGTTGTTTGGAGATACCAACTGGGGAAGTGGCTGCACTAGTTCCAATAGGCCTGGAATTTATCGAAATATAACTGTATTTAAAGACTGGATTTATAAAAACATGTATGCCAACAGATGGCAATGCCATCTGGTTGTTCTGTGATACTAATTGTGTTGATGTTGCATATTGTGTTTGAACCAGGAGCCATGATTTTATTTACTACCCTGGAGGTAAAACAGCAAGCAGGTGATGAATCCATATATATATATATATATATATTTGCACCACATGTATATATAAAAATTCCCCAGACTGCGAGGGGACCTGAATCTCCTGTAACCTGCCATAATAAAAACATGCACCTTGTCTCCCTTGATGCACAGCTCCTTCCTCACTCCCTTCTATTGCCTCCTGTTTCCATGTGATTTTCTTCCTCCTCCCTCTCAGATTTCTCCTTTTCATTGGATCGGGTAGTGGTTGGCCTTGTGGCACTGAAGTAGCCAGGGGTTCAGCATCTGCCTCCTTTGGGGGGGAGCAAAGGGGAAAGGAAGAAAATAACTGGGAAGCTGAGAGGTAATGTGGAATAAAAGATCTCACTGTGTATCTGAGCAGCTCCATAGTCAAAAGGGAATGACTTCAACAAAGAAGTTATTACTGGCAATGACTCCACTGAAAACAATTCCTGAAAACCATTTCTAGTGGAAATGCTGAGTCATGGCTTGAAGGAGTGATTGAGCACCTGGTGGGAAGGCAGGGCCAACTCAGGTGCATGCAAAGCTCCTGATTAACCAGAAGAGGTAAAGCCAGGATATACCCTTTCCTAGACCTCATTTAAGTGTTGGCAATGGAGGCAAGGGTATCTTGGTGGAGATTCCTGCATACCTGAGGCGTTTTGAAGGTAAGCAGTTTTTTTCCCTTTATTTCTGTGCTAATGACTACTGTATCTGAGCGAATCCTCTCTTGCTGCAGCCTAGGACTTTGCTACTCTGCTGTCATTTCTGTGTTTTCCATCATGTTACAGCATTATTTAAAATAATAATAATAATAATAATAATTGGCTGGTGTTTGATGCAGCAAAATTCTAAGCTAAATATAAATTCTGTAAGGTAGGCATTGTTCACATCTGTCTAAATGGTTTCCTTCCTCTGTCCTTTTCCACAGAAGACAAATGTCACTCCTACAAGGAAGCAGGAACTCCTCTAGTCCTTGCCAGGCTCCTCTCTATCCAAGGCCCACAGATATGGTATTGTCTACACCCTTCTGTGTAATGCTTGGAGGCATGTCAATGCATTTTCCCTGTATCTATTGCAGAGTAGCTTTTGCATGTCTTGCTGTTCTTAGGTCTACATCTCCTTGCTCCAGGGAAATGTTGTCGTATTAATGGGACTTGCACCATTTGTTTGCTGAGCAATAGCTAGTCAGTAATAGGGAGCATTTGCTGCTGACATTCTCTTCACATCTATAAGCACAGCTGGTTAACCATGTCCTTTGTGGCAAACAGCCTCATTCCTCTGGGTTCTTGGGAGCATCCATAGGAAGGCGCAGAGAATATCAAAAGCCAACAAAATGGTAATGAGAGTGACAAATTTCTATGCATACTAAGAAAGATGGAATGAGGACAGAGCACTGCTCTAGACCTATGGATAGTATTGCTTGCAGAGGCAGCAGGAGCATGTTTCCAGTGAATGTTAGGGGGAATGTCTGTTCTGTGTGCTTCAGGTGGGGAAAACTATCTGTGGTATTCCCCAAGGACAGGTGATTTTCTGTGAATTTCTGCTCGAAATAGGGTGGCATGGGGTGTCTGTTTGGTGACAATGAGGTTTTGACCACCAGAGGGTGCCTGCCCCCTTACCTAATGTCTTGGAGGTCACTGTAACCCATGTAAGCTTCTGTTGTGGAGTTGCTATCAACTCCTTCTTCTCTGGTAGTCCACCTAAGCCCCAGTGTTAACATGAGTTCTGATGATACTTCCTAGCTGTGTGACCCAGTACCTCCCTACAAAAAATGGAGCTGAGAAACCATGAAGCAAGAGGCAAGTTATGAGGGTGACAAAGCCTTGCATTGGCTTGAATGCCATAGAAGCATTATCCTGAGTCAGGAGCTTCAACATCCTATGAGAGACACAAAGACCAAAAGTGGTTTGCAGGTAGCATGCATGTGGATCAATTTCTTCCTATGCTCCATTGAACTACTTTCCTGCATTGTGCCAAACAGGATGCTTGGCAGCTTTGCCATCTCATCTGCAAAGGTGCATGCTTTTAACTTCAGGATGTCTTCTGGATGATGCCTTAGTACTCAAGCTAGGAAATCTTGGCTAGAAAGCACAGTAAAATTCTACACTGTTTCAACATAAGTTCCTTCCCTAAGGATCAGAGTTCTAAATAAATTCTTAAACAACATACATGCAGTCATATGGGAAATAACCTCACAAAGTTCAGGGAAAAAAAAGCACCTCTCTAAAAGGATGAAAAAGAAATACAATAGACCACTTACGTAAGAGAAGAAACGTCATTAGGACTGGTATCCAGCTTGCTTGTGAAGTCATTATGAAGTTTTGAGAGCAGAGTAATTTCACCCAAGTTTTCTGAATTTAGTTCTTCTGTAGTGAAGAGGGAGACAAAAAAGCCAGGTCACGTGGTGTATAGGGAAGTAACAGTCACATCCTGCGTAGTTAAACTTGCAAGCAAGTTCTCATTTTGGTCTTAAGTTCAATATATAAACAGTAATAATAAATAAATATACTCCGGGGAAGATAAACAGAGCAACATTCAGCTGTTTGGCTTCTAAGGGAGTTTTAAATGCTAACATTTATTTTTATAACTTTGATAAAGTTCAACCGAAGTGGATGGGTCTCTGATGAAATCTTCTGTCTAGTGTGGGGCAAGTGGCTTTTCTGCCTTAGAAGGAAAACCTGTTGCCAGCCTATTTATTTTTATGTATTTTAAGTCAACATTTATGCCATTATTCAGGAGAAGAGTACTTGGCTGAACACAGAGTGGAAAAAACTCACCACAACTGCAAATACATTACAAGTGACTCCTAGGAAAAGAAAGCCATGAACGCCACTTCTATTCTAGAAAAATGTCCAGACATGGTAGAAACTGAAAAACAGCAACTAACTGGCAAAATTGTAGGGGCTGGAACGGACCTCTAGAAATCATTTAGTTTATTTTTTGGACCATGGTGGGGAAAAACAAACAAACAAACTTTTTTTCTTTGTGGAAATTCACATTTTCAAACACATCAGCCTGTTGCAAAATCAAATGACAGTAAAGCTGTCTAAATATGTAACTAAATATTAACACATTCTGTTAAATGAACTTCCAAAGTCACTTCAGGTCCGTTCCTTAGGGATGAAAGGCACAAAACACTGCCCACTCCCCACCTCACCCAGCAGTCTCTGGAAGGTCTCCTTATTGCTTTTATTTTTTGATTCTTGATGTGCTTTTCTGCTTTAGGTTCATCTTTTGCTGTCTAGTACCTCATGTAGCTGCTTGTATAATGAAATCAAAATAACTGGAAACAAAACCTGAGTGCAGATTTTTTAAGAGAAATCCTCTTGGATCTTTCCTTTTCCTCCTCTTTGTGAGGTAGTGTTTCAGCAGATTCTCGCATCTACAGGCTGGATGAAATATCTGTTTTGCTGAGAAAATTAGAGCTGTAAAGCCCTCCTTCCAGAAGTCTGTTTTTAATGAGGCCATTGTAGACCATAAGGGATGCTAGTGACTGCATATGTATGGCCACCTTGGCAGAAGAATGAATGCAGATGGGCAGTGTTTAGTTGATCTGGCAAGATATGAGTGAAGAATCTCACTTATGGCTTTCAGGTGTTTGTGGAAGAATAAGGAAAACACAGCATTAGGTAACAGATATTGCTCTGAAGGCACTAAAAATACATATAAAAGTGACCCATGAACTCTCTAAGGTGACAGTAATTTATGACTCATTTTGCTTTGTGAGGTATAAGTAGAAGTGATTGAATGTGGTACCAATAACCATAGTATTTGCTAATGTTTTGATCCATTGTGAGTGTGTAGATATGCGTATGTGTAATTCATTGCTGTTTTCTTATTGTTCATGGATTTATCTGTGATCAGAGTTGGAAACTCCAAAACCAAACAAAATTCTCTGCAGCATATGAAGGTAAAAGATATCAAGATTCTAGGTAGAAACTCTCAGTGTTTTTGTATGTCATCAGCAAATGATCCCATGTTCTTAAGATCCTGAGAACCTATAATGGAAGCAATAAATAACATAAACATTGAATCTCTTTCTTGCTTGCTTTCTTTTTTCCACTGGTCTAGCTCATTGGTCTCTTACTTCAAAGAATAAACTAAGCATTTAAATATGATTTGTTTGGCTGAACTATGTAAAGCTGCTTGGTTTATCCTGTTGCTGGTTGTCTGCAAAATGTTTCAGATAACTTGGTTGGCTGGCTGTGCACTGCTGGAGCATGTATGCTTCACTATTCCTGTTCAGAACAGTTCCAATCAGTTCCTCTGATAAGGAAGGGCACTGATCAGAATAAGCCAGACTTAATAATCTCCTACTTGGAAGCAGGTTTATTCAAATTCTTGGCCAAACTAGGAAATGTAGTTTCAAGCATGATCATCATTACCAAGCCTCTGTTACCCATCTCCTCCACTTGGCCACTGGGCAGGATATATATGTTTAATTAATTCTGCTTTTACCTTTGACCTGTAAATAGTGGGAGCAGTGTCAGATTTATATGTTATATGAGTAACAAGGATTTCTCAGGAGACCCTATCCTGGTGAAAGAGGCTAACTGTAATTTTCAGCTGTGAGTAATTGTACATAATATAATCCTAAATGATTTTTCTTCTGTAATTTCATTAGAGTTTAGAAATTTAATTAGATTTTGAATCACTCTGAAATAAAGTAGCAAAACACCCAGAGACTAAGAGCAGTGGTTATTTTTTCCTCTGAGGCTAGAATTCTTGGTCTCAAATTGGCATGTGTTCATTAGAAGGAAGTTTGCAGAAGTTCTTGATATATTATTCTCTTTCAGAATGGACTCTGAATAGGTCTTTGGAGAGCATTAGAAGAGCACACAGTTATTATACAGACTCTTTTTGAGGTTTAAGATCATCTGCCTTGCATATACTTAATAAAAATGTGCCTCTGAAGTTGTTTAAGAAACTGTGGAGATAGGGAAGATGCACCTCCAGTGCCTCAGTGCTCTTCCTGGTTTATTAGCAGCTCCAGTACCTGTGTATGATGATACAGAGAGGAGCTGTTTACTTTATTTTAATGATTAGGTAGGTTTATGGTTATTTTTATTGCTACACATATGAACTGTCATGGTGGCTGCAATTAGAGGCACACTGAAGTGCTGTTCCTTCTCTTCCATCTGTGGTTAAAAGAAATATCTATCCTTCTGGCAGGCTTTGATTTTCTACTGAATTTGTACCGATGTGTGAAAACCAGTAACAAAGCAGGTGACAAACTGGACAGGGTAAGGTCAGTGCAGGAGCCAGTGATGGTGGGAGGTCCCAGGGCAGCTGCAGTGTGTTCAGAAATTGACCTTCTCAGAAGACTTCTATAGCCTAGGTGTGCAAGTTCTTGCTCCCTTGTTCTAACAGGCATAGCATTGTTTGTGAAGATGCTGAACTGATAAAGGGATTTGAGTGTGTGGGAGCACTTTCTATAAAGCCTTTTATCCTCATGGCAGGGACACTTTTCTCACTGGTATTAGTTGTTTGAGATAGGACTATCTGTTTGATCTGCAGATATTAATTCCTTACAGGGCAAAGCATGTAGCAAATTAAAGTGTTAGGAAGAGAGAAGGAAATTCAGGTTACTTTCAGCATGGCAACAATATAAAGAACTGTAACTGGGACAGACAGCATGAATGGAGAAATCTGACAAATAAGCTAGGTGTGAGAGACAGCAAATGTGAAATGAAAAATACCAGCAAAACAAATTGAGTAGAAAATAACGCTTTGTAAGTTATGGCAATCCAACATTTTGAAGATAAATAGGGAAGTCCAATGCAGTAGGGTGCATGTCAGTCCTGAAGTGAGCAGTCAAAAGTAAACTTAGGAGCTAACTGGGATGTTCTGTCACCAACTGGTCTATTTTACCATTGGTAACATCCTCTATATTGGCTAAAGTGCTAATACACTGCAGGCAGAAATGGGGTGAGATGATTCACTGGTCTGATTCTTTTGTTCCCTTAGCAGCTCTCAGTGGAAGTACATCATTGCACACATCCAGTCTTCAGACTCAAAATTTGTTTTCAGTGTGTCCACTTAAGTCTTAGAGACATTTCAGGAAGAAAAATATGTAAAGTTTTGTGAATATGTATCAATGGATCTCAGGCAATCTCAGGGTTATCTGGTGTATGTGGGCATGTTGTCATTAACGTGCCATTTGACATCACGGAACAAATCAAGGAAAACATGTTCCAGCTGGTTACTGCCAAAAAATTGAGGATCTTTTGCTATGGGCATCTGGAACAAATTGAAACCATGCTTGAAAACTCACAGCTGCTCTTCCTTTTCTATTTTCTCCATCTCCTCCTCTGTCAGGACTCTGAGATGCTGGGACAACTGGGAAGGATTCCACATCTCAGCAAGCAACAGAATCACACACAACAGAATGTTGGGTGTGTTAACAAAGGGAAACATGCCTGCACCAATTATTTAGTGCCTTCTTCCCTTGGCAATAAGGAATAGTACCGGAAAACATTCAATATGTCATTCTTATTCCTTTTTTCTCCTCCTTCTTTGTTTCCTTTTCAATATGGGGGAATATGCTCAGACATTTAAAAATATCTTTTTCTTTATTTTTCTTGGGGAATGCTAAAGCTTATACACAGAGAGGTGTAAGGGGATGAAGAAAAAAACCTTATGACAGGTTGTCACAACTTATGTCTCTTTCTTGCAGCACCATGAAAGAAAATGTCAAAGCAGTTCACAGCTCATCTTCGCAGTCTTCAATTTCAGATGTCATGCCCCAGATCTTGCTCTGTTCTCACAAGAATTATAAAATCGTGTGTGTAGAATTGAAAGGTGCATATCTGGTGCGTTGAAACAGTCTAATTTTCAACTGAGTTTTAGACTCTTACCATTGCTGAAAGCAAGGTTTGGGATCCTGGGGAACAAGGTGATACTTTTTCCAGAATGATACTTTAGACCAAGGGATTTCAACTCCTTCCTGGTTTTGAACAATTTAAAAAAAATAAAAATAAAAAATAAAAAAAAATGCTAATAGAGATTTCAATCTCCAGGTATTACATTTAGACCTACAGATTTGGTCTTAGTGTGACCTTTGGTGACCCTTAAACATAATGTGCAGCCTCATGTATTTGTACCCCACATCTGAGAGGAAAGATTTTTACAGAAACTTGTAGCCCTATTTGTCTTTAGACAACCCTATTTCAATCTGGAGCTTGTTGCTTAGAATGTTTATGCCTTGTTGGAGACAAACAGTCTAGAATGAAGTAGTTTATTTAGGTTAAAAGATTACTAAAAAAACAGTCTTTCAGGC